GGACTGTGTTCCGCAGGCTGAATGCTACCCTAAAACAAACCTTCAAAAACATTTATTTTGTTTCATATTGCTCAGGCAAGAAATCATAAAATCACAGACTAGTTTATGTTTAAATGGACCTTTGGAAGTCTCTAGTCCAGCATTCTGCTCAAAGCAGGTCTACTCAGCTCAAGTTGTTCAAGGCTGTGTCCAAATAAATTTTCCACACCTCCAAAGACAGTAATCCCATAGCCTCTGCAGGTCTCTATTCCAGGATATTACCACCTTAATGGCAAAAAGAAACAAATCGTTAGATCTAATTGAATATGTCATGTTCCAGCTTGTGCCCTTGGCTCCTGGTCCCCATTTCCTTTCATAAGTGGTTGCAGACAGGAATCGGGATTCCCCGGAGCTTCCTTATTCAGGGCTCACCAAACCCAGCTCCTCAGTATGTCATATGCAGGCTCACCAGTGCCAAGCACAGGGAAGGATGTCTTCCCTGGACCTACTGACTACAGTCTTGCTGATTCAGACAGGGATGCCACTGGTGTTTTCTGCAAGGGCACTTGTTGAAGGACCCCCAGATCTTTTCCCACAGAGCTCCTTTCCAGACAATTGTCCCCACCAGCCTGTATGGTTATTCCATCCCAGATGCAAGACTTTGCAAATAAAAAGAGAAGTAATGGTCTTGTTTGCGATCCCCTAATGGTCTTCCATCTAGCTAGCCTTACTGGGTTGCTTAACTATTCACCATGGTCACATTCTTATATGCGGAAGGTGAAATGCAGAGCAAGTCTGCTCCCTGCGGTCCCTTCCTAAGCATGATGTCCATGACATGACTTCATTGTTCGTTGCATTTTAAGTCCATGAATAGGACTCTTAATGCGGATAAATGGGCTTCAGGTTCACTATCGACATGTGGTGTGCTTTAGCTTTGGATGAATTCCTCTCACAAACCGCTCCATGCAGCTATGTAAACTAGCTGTGTTTGTGTTCCTCCTTTATGATCCTATACTGCTAGTATTCATAGGTCATCTTCACTGGTACTTCTGTTGTCTCTTCTCATTTTGACTGACAGCTGACTCACAGAATATTTTCCATTCTCGTTTTTGTATTCGCTTTAGTTTTGCTTCTTGAAGAACACATGGACTTTTTCAGGGCTTCTATCCGATTATGCTAGTGGTCAGCAACTGTGAAATTACTACAGCAAACATCAGTCAAGCTTTTCTCCATTTAACATGGGCCCTTCCAATTTTAATACTAATGAGTACAAGCACTTTAAACTGTTGAGTTTGAAAGGACAATGAAAGGGAAAATAGAAATAGAATTAGGAATAAGGGAGAATGAAATATAATTTTGTTTATGATTTTAATAACATTATTGGTGTTTTCCTGGTACTAAGGTGTAGATGGAGGAATCTTACTTCATGGTCAAAATGCTCCTGGCAATAAACAGCACATGCCATGCTTCGTCCAATGCATCGCGTTGAATCTGGAATCTGAGTATTGCTCTGATTATGATCAGAAGCAAAATTATCATTGATTTCAGTGAGAACAGGATGCTTTCTTAAATGTGGGGGTTTAAAGTTTTCTTGTTTTACTCAAGGCAATGTACATTAGCAATAGAAAAGAATATGTGCTTCATCCCTTGGCAGTAAGGATTTTCCCTACTGGCAAATGAGTTACTGATGAAATTCTTATGGCTTCAAGGAAGTTTTGGACCTCTCACAGCTCACAATTCATGTTAATCTGCTGTAAAGAGACAGGCAGGATTTAGCTTCAGTCCAGCTAAGTGGCTCTAGGGGAAACTGTTTTTTCTCCCATTCCCACTGAGTGGAGCTTAATAAGAATGTAGTCTGAGCAACAGTAGCATGTCCACGTAACTGTAATTTGCAGTGAAGGTTACAAGTGCCATCCAGCACACATTCTGCGTAAAGGCACTTCTGACGCTCTACAACGCTTGTGTTGTTGTAGCTAATCAGTTGATATCCCCCCAATAGACTGTGGTTTCCAAAAGCAATTAATTTCTCCTTTTTTGCTTCGCAAAGTCCTTTCTCTCAGTTCTGCATTTGTTCAGACCACATAATAGTTGACTGAATGAGTGAAATTAAAGATTCAAGGTCCCTTGAGCATTATGGTTCAAGCACAGCAGGCCAGTGTTTTCCAGGCACATGTAGCTGCCAGAAGGAAAGAGATTTTTCAGCACAGCTGGTTATATTGTAAAGACTCTACTGAGTCTCACAGACTGCCTGTCCACCTCTCCCTGGCAAATCTTGTGGCTTTAGCTGTATCTATCTATATCTAATGACTTATGTATATAAGCAAAGATGGATGTCCAAATATTTTCTCCTGACAATAGGTACCTGCATAGTAGCAGAGTTTGGGGAGAGCGGTATTACCCCAGAGGAGGATTGCTTCGGGACTACTTCAATAGCAGTGGGCTGTGGGACAGTGGGGTACATGTGATGGTGCTGAGGAACCTGGCCAATGTCACTGCAAGATACTGTCTGCTGCTGTTGAAATGACATGGAGATCAAGAGAGGTCTCTGATGACTGGAAAAAGGCAAATGTCATGCTCGTTTTCAAAAAGGGCAAGAAGGATGATCCAGGGCTGGTTAACGTCATCCCAGTCCGCTGGGAGATTGTGGAGAGAGTTCTCCAGGAGGCCATTACCAGGTGGATGCAGAGCAAGAAGGGTTGGGAATAGCCACTGTGGTGTATTCTTTACCAAGAGAAAATGGTGCATGATCGATCTGCAAATTGTCTACAAGGAGCTGACAGGCTCTAGAGGTGAGAGGTGGAATAGATGACATTCAGAAATCCCTTCTCATCTAAATGAGTCTATAAAAGTTTACAAATACTTGTTCAACTGAAAACAACTCAACTTCAATAGTTATCAAAAACAGACAACAGTAGTCACACCATAATATTCCACCGAATTTCTGAATGTTTATTAGTACACTTCATCACACCAGGGAGAGAAATCTCTATATGCTGAGTTACTTTGGTTAGAGTAGGCAGCAATACATTGGGTAATATTCAGCTAATTGAGTATTATGCCCTTTCACTATTCCTTTTACATGCTTGGATATACTCTAACAAAATATGTTCAAGCTATGAACAGATTCAAATAACTTACTAGAAACAGGGCAGAGCAGGATCATTTAAATCCCTTGTAGATCTTTGCTGGTGTCAGAGAAGAGCTCCTGGTTTACTAAAACATAAGAAATAGAACTGGAATTCGTTTGTCCTTTAGAAGCTTGTCTTTTCATAGCTGAAGTTATAGAGTCTCCAGTCTAAAGTCCCTTGAAGTGGATGGAAGGAATCACATTGATTTCACAAGGAATCACTTGTCTCTTACCAAGAGACAAGAGCTGGAGGCCAGACTTCACCACCAAGTTGCATCTTTCTGTGCTTTGAACACAAGCCTGTTCCTTACAGGATTAATGAGTATTTTTTATTTTTTTTTAACTTTTGGCAAACACTGTAATATTATGATACCAGAACTGACTTGTTCAGAAAGGTGCCCCAATGATAAGGAAAAGATGAGAGCATTTGGCTCTGGCAGCTAAACTGAAACACAACTAGCAATTATTGGCAAACTCTATAGGAAACTAGGACATTTGTTTAGATGGACTCTTAGTCTGCCTCAGTATAGGCATTACTGGATTTCCATTTTTTTGTGAACTACACAGCAGCTCACCTGTTGTCTGCTGCAAGTGATCTCTAGAGATCAAATGTAATAGTGTAGAAACAACACAGATATCACTGAAAATGGTTGTCTGAAAACAAAACCCAAATTACTACTTAGAGCAAAATCAAGTCTGATGCCATTGCAAAGTTGCTTTGGCTTTCTATACAAGCACTGGATAATGAAATATTACAGTTTGCAGTTTTCTAATTTAGTTATAGTGGGGTAGACAGTATGTGTGTTTTACATTATTAAAAAAAAAAAACTATCATGAAGATTATCATTTCCCATGGAGAAATAAAATGTTGCTTTTGACTGCTGCAATCACAATATCATTAATTTTGTTGCAGTAATGTGTGATGCTGAAGTGAATTCCCTCAACTTGCTTTTAGTTGTGAAATCATATTTTAACAATTATTTAAAAATATTCCTGCACTTACCCTTAGCAAAGTTTTCAAAGGGAGGTTCATGCAAATATTTGTGCTTTATTTCCCATGCGTTTATGCAGATGAAACGTGTTTATGGCATGAAATAATTGCATCTGCCCAGAAAGCTGCCTAGACCAGGGGTGAGCTCATCTGGTATTTAGACATGAGGCAGGTCAAAAGAAAACATATGGCTGGCTTTGATGGTCAGGTCTTAAGCAAAGATTTCAACATCTCTATAAAAGAGTTAAAAGAAAAATTGTGAAGGAACAAGCATGCAAATATACAGGCTAAAATTTGCTGGTTTGTCTTCCTAATAGAAGAGACCAAACTTTAAGTTTACAAAGCAAGCAAGCTATTTCTATTCAGCTATTGAAATAAGCCATTTGTTCTGCACCATATACTGTGATCTTTTTATAAAGCTAAATTCTTTTCAGGACTATGGCAAAGGGAGAGAGGAAGAGAGACAGCAATTAGGGGCAAATATGCTCCTGCCTTCATGGATGAGGGGCTCCACATCCACTGACACATACTGAAGAGATATTTAGAAATTGGAAAAGTATTTTAAGTCATACAAAAAAAAAATATGAAGAACCATTTATGTTAAAGTTTATGTTCCAAGGGAGAAAAAAACAGCTTTTTTTTTTTTTTCTTTAAAGAAAAATCAGTGAGAACAAATCCATCTCATGGAATAAAATCGCAAAGTTAGTTAGACTTACAGATGAATGAAGTAGCTTCTCAGCTTCTCCAAACCTCCAAACCTGAAAATACTTTATTAGTAGTCTTTTGCAAAGGCTAAGCTTTTTGTCTGTTCCTCAGGAAAGTGCCTCTAAGATTAGAGATTATCCAGGGCTTTTAAAATCTTGAAAGTGAATCCAGGAATGGCTTTAATAGCTAGGTCTTGCTTCAGTAGATGGATGCATCTTCATAGTGGAATTTGCCTTGAGAAGAGATCTTGGGGCTGGAGACTTGACCAGTGCCACATGGTAGACATTGACTAAATAAACGTAACAAATGCCTCTTGAACTTGACCCCAACAAATACGTAGAGCACCGGGTTGAGGCAGCAGTGGGAGAAAGCAATTTTACGGCTGATGTGAAAGGCAAGTTTGGAGTCCTTTTCATACTGACAGGTAGGTGATGGAAAAGTAGTCAAAAAACTGAGGATGTTGTAAGGTGCCCAACTCAGGAAAAAAGCCACCACGATAATCAGGATGAGTTTCACAGTCCTGTGCTTTCTGCGAGATTTTGCTCCAAGGAGAATTATCAATATCTTGAAGTAACAGAATACAATAACTGCAAAGGAAATCAGGAAGAGTATATTTCTCTGATAGATGTCCACCTTCTTCCATTTCCACTCAGTGTAATCACAGGTCTTCATGCCGTCCACGCTTTCTTGTACAGTGGTGTGAATCACCTCAGGAACCACAATTAAAATGCTGCAAGTCCAAATGGCCAAGCTCACCAGAAAACCACAGCGCTGTGTCTGGGCTCTCAGAGTTGAAAGGGGATCCACTACAGATAAGTACCGCAGAATAGTCATGAGGGTCAAAAAGAAAACCCCGCTGTAGTAGCCAGTGGAGAAAACAGCATTCACTGCTTTGCAGAGGAACTCACCAAAAATCCACCCGAAGGACTGGTCCACTACCCAGAAGGGCAGCATGCAGGAGAAGACTAAATCAGAGATGCACAGATTCATGATGAAGACATTGGTTAAAGATGTAAGGTTTTCATATTTGAATAGGATCCATAGCACTAGAGTGTTTCCTAGTAGGCTGAGTAAAAATGCCAGAGTGTAGAGGATAGTAGTGAGATGGGTGTAAAACACAAAGTAGTTGCCTCTATCACAGATATTGCTTTCATTAAAATAGTATTCATATGAATAATTCCCAAATGAAGAAGGTGTGTTATATTCTTCATCCATTTGCGTATGTGAACCTCACACAGCTCTCCAGCAGCTGCTTCAAAGAACCACAACCAACAATCTAAGCAAATGTAGTGAAAACAGAACCACTTAACTCCCACTCCGGACAATTTTGTTTGAAGATATGAAAAGAAGCAGTGAAAGTACTTTTTATCTTGTTTTGGAGAGAGAAAGGGATCATTTCCTCTTATGAATATAGCATGGCCAGGTTAAAGATTTACTCTCAGAGCAGTGTTGAGATCTTAAATAACCAAGAATTGAGAAACCAATAAGTTTTTAAGACAATGTGGTCAGGGACAGCTGCAAATTACTAAACCTCTACTTTGACAAGGTTGAGGGTACATTGCTTTTTAACCTAAGTACCTCAGGACTGTTAAAGCTGGTACTATTTTTTAGTTTTTTTACAATGGTAATTTTTACCAACTTTCTGAACACTTGAACCTGTATATGATTCTTTGTCATAACACATGGCGGGAACTTAAAAAGCTGAATAATACTGGTGTTAACTATGAGAATGAAAAATGGAAAAAGCTGTTTCCTACAGGCTTTTGTCTTGAGATTGGTTATATCTAAAAATCTGCAAGCTTTAATGAAAGCATTTCCTGTGTTGGGCAGTTGTGCCTCTCTATCATTTGTTGATCCTTGGGGATGCAATAAAAACAAGTGCCCTTTCCTCAGGATTGCTGCTGGTTACCTGTCTGCCCATCTACAAGTAGGAACTTAAACCCAACTTGATGGCTGAAATTGGCTGAGACTTGGAAATGTTACTGAGACTCAGAAGATGACACATAGCCAGATAAACCTCCAAGGGCAGCATGCTCACTATAGCCTCATTTCTTTAGGAAATTAGGCTAAAATATGGGTACAGAAAAACTAATGGCTCCAACCAGTGGTTCAAAGTCCAAATTCAAATTTGTCCAGGTTCAAATTAAGCTCCCAGATGAAAGCTTGGCTGAAGTATGTTTTTGGCTGAAGCCAGTGGGAAACCTGCCGCTAATTTCCTTGGAAGCACAATCCCAACAAAGAAACTCTTAAGACTGTGCTGGTGACATTTTATCCTGTTTTTGTTTTTAATTAGCAAAAGCAGAATCTGCTGGCCATGCTAGGACCAGATCCACTTCTGCAGGAGGACAGAAAGGTTATGCCTGAAGCAGCATCAGTACCAGGGAGCCTTGTGGCTGCTGGAGTTTGTGTGATAGGTGCCCAGAGCCAGCTAGAGCTTGGCTCGGTCAGTGCAGGCTAGGGAGCAGCCAACAGTTTGGAAGTGGCCACCCTGTTTTGGAGGTCAGGGACATGTGGCATTTGGTACCCCGTGTTGAGAAATGGCCCTGGCTTGATTCATTTGCCAGGAAAGGCGTAGTCCTAGCTGGAAATTGTGCCTGTGGCCCTCCGGCTACGACATGCTGCCATCTTCAGGCAAGCAGAACAACTTTCCTGGTGAGGACACGATCCCCTTTGGTTTCACTGCAAAGATGACGCTTAGGCAAGGCATGGTTTAGACTGATGTCCCCAGCGTCATCGCGCCCTGTTTAAGCCAGGCTGGAGTTCCGGCTGCTCCCGTGCAGCTCTCCAAGAGCAAAAAGGAGCCTCCTTGCCAAGAGCAGGGGCCCTCTGTGTGCTGTATGAGCGTGATAAACCCCGTCCTCACCCGCTGCCACAGGCCCCGGGCAGGCGGGTGATCCCGGCAGCCTCTGGAGCTGGGCTCTGGGGCTCTTCCTTGGCTCTGCTTCGGCCCCCAGCCCAGGAGCCATCGCACAAAGGCCTCCCTCGTCCCTCCCGTGTCGAGGGTCTCCTCCAGTGTTTGCTAGCTCACTGCCAGCCTGCGCTGCAGCGAGGTCGGGGCAAAAGAGGAAGAGACACTTTGCTGGAGGCTGCAGTTTGAAGGTAAATCACACTCTTTTTGTTTTCCTGCTGTGCTGTTTCACAGATAAGCAGCAAAAATATACAAACAACAACAACAACAACAAAATCCAAAAGGTACAAAACATATCTAGAAATAAAATTATGTTTCCCTAGTGTTCCTTGTCTCATGTGCCTGTCAGAGCTTCTGGCTGGAGTCAACACTCCCCTGAGCTGCTTTGCACGCAGGTAGTCTCCCAGGTCAGACTCTCTCCTCAGCTCTGCCTGGGAGTTACTTCCACATGTGTATATCCTCTCCCTCCTCACCCTCTGTTCTTC